TGGGCATCTTTGCTGAATCTAAGAAAAATAAGGTAGAGAACTGAGTCACAGTCATCCACGTGCTGAGAGTCAAAGCTCATGATTTCCCTGAGTATTTTGATCTGTGCCTTCAACAGAAGGACCAAGCTAAAACAATGTTGTGGTGCACAGCTGAGAATCTGGCATTGGTGGTGGGTGGAAGGTGGTGACCAAAGGTGGAGGTGGTCTGGGGAAGGTCAGTATTTCACGTTGTTCCTGGAGAAAGAATCGTGGACACAGCCAATTGGAAATGAGGCTGGTCCCCCTCTTCCCTGGCCTCCTGCCCCTGGATTGGTTGGTACTTTGGCTGCCAACAGATTAATGAAATCTTTTCAATCCTGAAAGAAGTGACAACCTCATGAGGAAAACAGTATGTTTTTAGCATTAGATGGAAGATTAAAACTCTATCGAGAAACCCAATCTTTTCCTATAGAAGAGCTTTAACACTTGCCTTGTACAATATGTTGTGAGTTAATATCGTGGTCTTGGGGGAACAATTTTTCTTCTCAAATCTTTAGAGTTATTTCCAGAATTTCAAAGGCTGTTTCAAGAACTATAGTTTTGTTTAAAGTACAATCAGCTGTGTGAATGGAAGTCCTGGGGAAGGGAGAGCACTCACACTGAGAGATGAGAAGGTTACCTGCTTCCAGTGCCAAAGCATGACGAGGATTCTGTTGAGTTTTCCTAAAAAAAGCTTGAGAGCTGTAATGCAAAGCAACAACAACAACAACAAAAAACAAAAAAAAACAAAAAACTCTAATGATTTTTTGAAAAGTTGAAACAAGATGAATTTAATTACTGAGTTGTTCACAGTAACGAAAATGCAATTCATCTGTTATGAATTGTATTTATATATTTTTCCCATGCAAAAGGTATAGGAATTATGAAACACAAATGATTAGAATTGGAGGTTAGACTTAGATAGTGAATCTGAATAGAAATAATGCATTTTCTTGGATAATAATATTTTACTTTAAATTAGGTTATTATACTATTAAAGGAATCCAAATATATAAAGGCTGTTATATTTTTCATCACCAAAGTGTTTTTTAACAGAAAAAATTGTCACACTGTGTTTCATTAGAAGGATTCATAAATTGCCTCTTTTAATTTTTTTACAGCCCTTTTTAAAGAATTTTTTTTTTTTTTTTTTGAGATAGGGTCTTGCTCTGTTGATCAGGCTGGAGTGCAGTGGCATGAACTTAGCTCAGTGCAGCCTGAAACTCCTGGGCTCAAGTGATGGTTTTGTTTTGTGTTTTGGCCTCCCAAAGTGTTGAAGTGACAGTTGTGAGCCACTTCACCTGGTCCAATTGTTTTTTTTTAAGAAGAATTATGTTTAGAGAAAGTGCTTGTTAATATCTGCTGAGGAGCACAGCTATCAGGAGAGCAAATGATGTTTTAAAAAAATATTTTTATTTTTATTTATTTATATTTTTTATTTTCTGAGATGGAGTCTCGCTCTACTGCCCAGGCTAGAGTGCAGTAGTGCGATCTGCAACCTTTACCTCCTGGGTTCGAGTGATTCTTGTGCCTCAGCCTCCTGAGTAAAGCTGGGACTATAGGTGCATGCCACCAAGCCCAGCTAATTTTTGTGTTTTTAGTAGAGATGGCGTTTTGCCATGTTGGCCAGGCTGTTCTCGAACTCCTGACCTCAGGTGATCTGCCTAGCTTGGCCTCCCAAGGTGCTGGGATTAGAGGTGTAAGCCACCGTGCCTGGCCAAAACCAATTTTTAAATCAATATTTAAAACACATTAGGGTGAATGTTGTTTAGAGCTTGAGAGCATTTTCATTGAAGATTATTCCATTCAAGAGTCAACAGCTCAAGAGTCTCCAAATCTAGGTCCTTAACCAGAACTTGTTTTTGTATCTTTTCCTTACAAGAAGGAAGAAAACCCAGGCTGGGATTTCAAGGCCCCAGAGAGGCAGTGCAGCAAATTTCTGTGTTCAAACCTTCCCTCAGCTACTTCTTAGCTGTGAGATCTTGGGCAAGTTACTTAGCCTTTCTATGCTCTAGTTTCTTCATCAGTAATTTGGGGCTAGTAATCTCTTCTTCATAGGTTTATTGCAAGATTAAATTAATTTACATTAAGGGCTAGGCTCAGTGACTCATGCTTGTTTTCCCAGCCATGTGGAACTGTGAGTCCATTAAACCTTTTTTTCTTTATAAATTACCCAGTGTTAGGTATGTCTTCATAGTGATATGAATATGGACTAATATGGCTGGGTGTGGTGGCTCATGCCTGTAATCATAGCACTTTGGGAGACCAAGGGGGGCAGATGACCTGAGGTCAGGAGTTTGAGACCAGGCCGACCAACATGGTGAAACCCGGTCTTTACTAAAAATACCAAAAATTAGCCAGTCGTGATGACGCATCTGTAGTCCCAGTTACTGGGGAGGCTGAGGAAGGAGGATCTCTTGAACCTGGGAGTTGGAGGTTGCAGTGAGCCAAGATCATGCCACTGCACTCCAGCCTAGGCGATAGAGTGAGATTCCTTCTCCAAAAAAAAGTTTACATTAAGAATTAGAACAAGGCCGGGTGTGGTGGCTCAAGCCTGTAATCCCAGCACTTTGGGAGGCCGAGGCGGGTGGATCACGAGGTCAAGAGATCCAGACCAACCTGGTCAACATGGTGAAACCCCGTCTCTACTAAAAATACAAAAAGTTAGCTGGGCATGGCGGCACGTGCCTGTAATCCCAGCTACTCAGGAGGCTGAGGCAGGAGAATTGCCTGAACCCAGGAGGCGGAGGTTGTGGTGAGCCAAGATCGCGCCATTGCACTCCAGCCTGGGTAACAAGAGCGAAATTCCGTCTCAAAAAAAAAAAAAAAGAATTAGAACAGTTTATGACTGGTACATAGTAGATCCTCAATAGACACGAAAAATTATAATTCTTATTTATTATAATTACACGAGCAATTGTTGGAAAGCTCTCACTCTTTTGTTTGTCTTTTTTAAATTGCATTTTAGGTTTGGGGGTACATGTGAAGAACATGCAAGGTTGTTGCATAGGTACACACATGGCAGTGTGATTTGCTGCCTTCCTCCCCATCACCTATATCTGGCATTTCTTACCATGCTATCTCTCCCCAACTCCCCACCCCCCGCTGTCCTTCCCCTATTTCCCCTCAACAGGCCCCAGTGTGTAGTGCTCCCCTCCCTGTGCTCATGTGTTCTCATTGTTCAACACCCCCTATGACTGAGAACATGTGGTGTTTGATTTTCTGCTCTTGTGTCAGTTTGCTGAGAATGATGGTTTCCAGGTTCATCCATGTCCTTACAAAGGACACGAACTCATCATTTTTGATGGCTGCATAATATTCCATGGTGTATATGTGCCACATTTTCCCTGTCCAGTCTATCATCAATGGGCCTAATCAAACTCCACAGCTTCTGCACAGCAAAAGAAACAGTCATTAGAGTGAATCAGCAACCAACAGAATGGGAAAAAATTTTTGCAGTTTACCCATCTGTCAAAGGGCTGATATCCAGAATTTACAAAGAACTAAAACAGATTTACAAGAAAAAAACAAACAAGCCCATTCAAAAGTGGGCAAAGGATATGAACAGACACTTTACAAAAGAAGACATACATGAGGCCAACAAACATATGAAAAAATGCTCATCATCACTGGTCATCAGAGAAATGAAAATCAAAACTACACTGAGATATCATCTCACGCCAGTTAGAATGGCGATCATTAAAAAATCTGGAGACAGCAGATGCTGGAGAGGATGTGGAGAATTAGGAACACTTTTACACTGTTGGTGGGAGTGTAAATTAGTTGAACCATTGTGGAAGACAGTGTGGCGATTCCTCAAGGACCTAGAAATAGAAATTCCATTTGACCCAGCAATCCCATTACTGGGTATATATCCAAAGGATTATAAATAGTTCTACTATAAGGACACATGCACACGAATGTTCATTGCAGCTCTCACTCTTTCTAAAAAATTTGCATGACTAGCTCATGCCTGTAATCCCAGCACTTTGTGAGGCCGAGGCGGGCAGATCACCTGAGGTCAGGAGTTCAAGACCAGCCTGACCAACATGGGGAAACCTCGTCTCTACTAAAAATACAAAATTACCTGGTGATAGTGCACGCCTATAATCCTAGCTGCTCGGGAGGCTGAGGCAGGAGAATTGCTTGAACCTGGGAACCAGAGGCTGTGATGAGCCAAGATCACGCCATTTCACTCCATCCTGGGCAACAAGAGCAAAACTCTGTCTCAAAATAAAAATAAAAATAAATAAATTTTGTATGAATAAAGGAAGACTTATTTTCTCAATGTCTTTTTAGTACACTCAGAATTTTTAGTAGAGCAAATAATTTTCAGTGAAGTCAAAATTATTGGGATAAAATACCTTCTCTCCATGCCCTAGCATAAAATGTTCAGAAACACAATGAAATAAAGAGACAAAGGAAAAAAACCTTGGCAAGGGGTCAAGTTTTGAGGATTGCTTTCAAGAGGTCATTGTGTTCAGACTGGCCGCACAGGCTACTGTAAACCCTAAGTAGGAAATGAGAGCCTGTTGTGCTGATAAAATGTCCGTCTTTTCAACTAAACAGATTGCTATCAGCCTAACAGAGCCAACCCCTGTTCCTTTTTGCCGGGTCATTTCCTTTACTCACTGTCTGTAAGAGCTGCCCACTTGGGTGTTTCTCAGGATTATAGGTTTTTAGGTCACACTGAAACCCTGGGGAACGCCTGAAAAGCCAAACACAAGCGGTTACTTTATGCACAAGCTGGATGCTGTGACCCCACTGCTGCCGTGTGGAGCTTGTGTGAGCTGCTCTTACGGCAAGTCCGTGGGTGGCCAGGAGCACATGTCAGTCTGGTTAAGAGCTCTGCTCAGAAGTAGCCGCAGCAGCTGAAGGTTTTCGGGTGGGCTGAAGGCTGGGCTGCTCCTTCATTCATTTTAGAAGCTTAAACAGTGGGCCTTCTACGCACGCTATCTTTGTCATCGCCAGGCAGTTCCTCCATGGATGAGACACAGGGACCTCTGGCCTTGACTGTCCATCTTCTTGCCAACTCTGGGCACGGTTCACTTCTGCAGAGGACTCTGGACCAGCTCCTGGATTGCATTTGCCCAGAGGTCCGGCTCTTTCAAGTGTCTGAACGGGCCAGTCCTGTGAAATACTGTGAAAAGTCCCACTCCAAGCGGTCCCGGTTCCCAGGGATGTCCGTGTTGCTCTTTCTGCCCAAAAGCCTGGGAGAGGATCGGCTGTTCCGCATCCTGGACTCTCTCCAACATTCGCCATGGCAGTACTACCCCACCCAGGACACTCGGGGAAGGCTGTGTCCCTACCTTCTTGCCAATCAGGAGTTCTACAGCCTGGACAGCCAGATGCCCATCTGGGGGGTGAGGCAGGTGCACAGTGGCTCTGAGATCCTGAGGGTGACGCTCTATTGCAGCTTTGATAACTATGAGGATGCCATCAGACTCTATGAGATGATCCTGCAGAGAGAAGCCACCTTGCAAAAGAGCAATTTTTGTTTCTTCATGCTCTATGCCACCAACAGCTTTGCTCTGCAGCTCTCCCTGAAGCAGCTGCCCCCAGGAATGTCAGTGGACCCCAAAGAGTCTTCGGTGCTGCAGTTTAAGGTTCGAGAGATTGGCCAGTTAGTGCCTCTGCTACCCAACCCATGCATTCCCATCAGCAGCACCAGGTGGCAGACTCAGGACTACGATGGCAACAAGATTCTGCTTCAGGTATTTCTGTTTCGTCTTTGTGATCTTGTAGTGGCTCATGGAGCTGTGTCATTTTACATCAGAAAGGGCCTAAGTCAGTGCTTCTCAGAGTTGGTTGCACATTAGCGTTTTTCAGGGGCTTTCAGAAATTCCCACCCCAGGCCAGTTTGATCAGAATCTCTGGGAGCATCCAGACCTAGGTAACTTTTTTACAGCTACTTGGATGATTATAACCTGTAATAGGGTGGGGAGTCACTGATCTCATAAAATCTCATCTGACAGATAAGAAAGTTCAGATTCCGGGAACTGGCACAAGTACTTTATAGTAGAATCAGACAGGATTCGACTATAAAGATCCGAATCTTTATAAAGAACCAGCCTCCTTTCTCAGGCTTGCCGTTTAAATGCCAATCAACCATACCCATATCCTTTGTTTACCCTTTGAGCTCAGAAATGTCATAAATTCTTCCCATCTGACCTAAGGAAGTTGAAGTCATACTTATGTTTAGAGATGGTTTTATTTTTTAATTTTTTAATTTTAATTTTTTAATTCCCTTCTCTTGATTGTACATTTTTTAATTTTTAAGAGATGGGAGTCGTCCTCTGTTGCCCAGACTGGAGTACAGTGGTGTCGTCACAGCTCTCTGAGGTCTCCACCTGTCTTAGCCTCCTGACTAGCTGGGACTACAGGCACGTGAGGCCATGTCCGGCTCATTTATTTTATTTCTATAGATGGGGTCTCGCTATGTTGACTGAGCTTGTTTAGGGATGTTAAGTTTCCAGTGCTATCGACTTAATTTTTAAGCATCTTGCATCACTGTGAAATTTTACCATGCACCAAATTAGATAGAAACCTTTCTGAAAAAAGAAATTTAAAATTCAAGCCTTCCTTTGTAACCATCCTTGAAAACCTAATGCAGCATGTGTGTATTTAATCGTGACAGCTGTCATGCGTTGCCTTTCACGGTATATGAGCCTGACCACTTAGCAGCTGTATGACCGAGGGCCTCAGTTTCTTCATTAGCACAATAAAGTCAAGGCAGAATTAGCATCTTCCTCTCTCGTATTTTATTTATTTATTTATTTATTTTTGGAGTTTCGCTCTTGTTACCCAGGCTGGAGTGCAATGCGATCTCGGCTCACCGCAACCTCCACCTCCTGGGTTCAGGCAATTCTCCTGCCTCAACCTCCTGAGTAGCTGGGATTACAGGCACGCGCCACCATGCCCAGCTAATTTTTGGTATTTTTAGTAGAGACGGGGTTTCACCATGTTGACCAGGATGGTCTTGATCTCTTGACCTCGTGATCCACCCGCCTCGGCCTCCCAAAGTGCTGGGATTACAGGCTTGAGTCACCACGCTCGGCCTCTCGTATTTATTTACAGTAAATGACCTGACACTTACAAAGTACATAATTAAGACAGTGCCCAGAACTCAATTGTAGCTATTGTTCATATTATGCCCTAAAGATTATAAATTGATAATTTTATTTAATAAACCCTTGTAACAACCTATGAAGTTACTGTTTTTCCCATTTTGGAGATAAGAGAACTGAGCTGTACAGGGGGTTGGTTATTTGCCCAAGATAGGAAGTGTCTATCAACCTTCAAAGTTCATGTGGTCAGCCACTGCAGTCCAGCGGATGTGTGTAAATGTGTGGGCAGAGGGATGAATGTGATATTCACGGCAAAATATCCTGTGGCTTCTGTCCTTAAGAAATGGTCAGAGGCCAGATGTGGTGGCTCACGCCTGTAATCCCAGCCCTTTAAGAGGTCGAGGTGGGTGGGTCACCTGAGATCAGAAGTTCAAGACCAGCCTGGCCAACATGGTGAAACCCCAGCTCCACTAAAAATAGAAAAAATTAGCTGGATGTGCCAGCATGTGCCTGTAATCCCAGCTACTCGGGAGGCTGATGTAGGGGAATTGCTTGAACCCAGAAGGTGTAGGTGGCAGTGAGCCAAGATCGCACTATTGCACTCCAGCATGGGAAACAAGAGCAAAACTCTGTCTAAAAAAAAAAGGAAATGGTCAGAAACTCCTTAAGGACTCTCTGGATGAAGTAATAAGAGACTACGAGATGAGATATCTTTCCATTTAGTTAATTTTATTGTCATCATTTTGACATCTTTGTTAATAAAATATGAATCATATTGATTCTATATTAAATATTTTCTAGATTATTTACCTTCTTGTTCACATAAGGTTGATAGGCACCTTTCTGTCAGTTGCCTATTATGAAACCCCCTAATTTCCAAGGCATCTAAAATTTCTTTCCATCTTAGTGACTCTCTAGTACTTAAAATCAACCTCATTGTCAAACAAAAATTTAATGTGTGTGTGCAGGAAGGGACATGATTTAAATCATTCCTATCTTCAAGGCTGACTGACATTTTTGCTTTGGAACCACAGCTTAAGCAACTTAGTTACTTTGGAAAGTTGAGTCACATTTGGGGAGTGTAAAAGGGTTTTTTGAAAAAAGAGAAACTCCATAAGTTGTATGAAGAGAGCCGTCTTCCTCTCTGGATTGTCTCAGGAGCCTGACCACCTCTTTGGTGTGAGTGGGGCATCAGCCCCTCACTCTTTTGTTTTTAAGAGGGAGTATTGCTCTGTTGCCCAGGCTGGAGTGCAATGGCATGATCTCAGCTCACTGCAACCTTTGCCTCCTGGGTTCAGGCAATTCTTGTGCGTCAGCCTCCTGAGTGGCTGGGACCTACAGAAGCCTGGCACCATGCCCAGCTAATTTTTGTATTTTCAGTAGAGACAGAGTTTCACTGTTGCCCAGGCTGGTTTCAAACATCTGATCTCAAGTGATCCACCTGCTTCAATCTCCCAAAGTGCTGGGATTATAGGCGTGAGCTACCACGCCTGGATGCCTCTCACTCTTGCTAGCCTCCTTGGACATCCCCTTCATCCTGACCTCAAACCTCAGGGACTTCTGCTTCCTCACTCCAAATCACACTTTGGTCTCCTCTTGTTCAGTCAATGAGTCTAAGCTTTTGCAAACGGAGTGGGAGATTGCTTTCTGGAAAATTCTGCTTCTGGTGTCATATAATAAAAGTGCCCAAGGAAAGTGTGCCAAGGGTCAGCCATAATCCAAAGACAATGCACTGCATCGCCCAGGTAGCTTTTCACTCTTTAAGTGGAGTGAATTTTTCAGGGTAGAGAATTTCTGGGTGTGGTGGCTCAGGCCTATAATCCCAGGACTTTGGGAGACTGAGGTGGGGGGATCACTTGAAACCAGGAGCTCAAGACCAGCCTGGCCAACGTGGCAACCCCCTCTGTCTACTGAAAATACAAAAATTAGCTGATCATGGTAGTGTGCACCTGTAGTCCCAGCTCCTCGGGAGGCTGAGGCAGGAGAATCACTTGAACCCAGGAAGTGGAGGTTACAATGAGCTGAAATTGATTGTGCCACTGCACTCCAGCTTGGCGACAGAGTGAGACTCCAGCCTCAACTTCCTTGGGTCCTGGGGAGAGGGGCTGGGTGGCAAGTTTGGCTTCTATATGTGAGTAGTCCTGAACACTGTGTGCTCAGGATCCAGATTCCAGCTCTGCTGCTGCTGTCTTGGCCCAGTCCTCAGGCAGGCATCCCCTGGGGTCGCCAGCTGGTTGCTAGCAGCTCTGAGGGCTCCATCCTTCAAGTGGGCTCCAAGTACCTTGCCCCACCATGGCCCAACAAAATGTCTGGACTTCAGTTGGACCAACTTGGATCAGATTCTCTTCTCTAAATCATTTATTACACACAGAAGCGTGAGAGTATATGGATCAGTTTAGCCCTGAGGCAAAGGCTCTGGCTTCCACGCCTAGATGCTGCGTGGTGTTCTGTGGGACTCTTAGGGAAGGTTGTGGGTCTCCAGAGAAGATCAAGGTGGGGGGAGACAAATAAAGAGTGGCCCCAAATAGCTGATGTCCAGCAAAAGTAAGAAAATAATACCTATTAAAGGAGGAACCATAACCACAAACGAACCTCTCTGCAGACCATCCTTCCACATGACCAGGATAGAGGTGTATGCGCAGGAGACCTGAGAGTGAGGGGAGCTAGGCCCGGGTGGGGAGTGGGGAGGTGGCGAGAAAGCTTTCCCAAGGAGCAATGCCCAGATCTGCTGGAACTGGATGGCCCAGGATGAATTAGCCAGTTAGAGAAGGGAGTAAGGGTGTCTCAAACAGGTGACCATGGGTGACGGTGTTGATGTGGTGCTGCTTAGCAGGCCAGATTCAGCAAACTTCCTGAGGTGTCATGTGGCTGGAGTGAAGGGAAGGGGAGTCAGGGCAAGGGGATGAGCAGGTGGTCTGAGGCTGGATCAGCGGGAACACGGCCAGCCCCTGGACTGTAAGCACTGAGAGGGCGGGGACCTTTTGGGGTCATGCCTGTGAACCCAGAACCTGAGGTCCGTGTCTGGCACATGGTAAACAAATACATTCTTGTATGAATGAACTCTAGCTAAGTAGCTTCTATTCTACCCTTGCTGTAAGGAGCAGTCACTGATGGGTCCTATGAATCGAACTGACATGGATTATTCGTATTATGATGGTCAAATGGGAGAATGTACGTGGGGGAGCTTGGTAAAGTAAAAGCTGCAGGAGACCGTGTAACAGTGGTGCAATCGTCACCTGTGCATGTGAGAGGCTGTCACCTGTCTCTGCCAGAGCACTGAGTGAGCAAGGCTTTTTCCACATGACCTCTTGCCACTGCAGACCGCCTGATGCCTCTCAGACTCTAGAACGTATGTTTTTGATGAGCGCAATATGAGGGTATCGAATAGATGCTCAGTAAATGAATGTATGAATACATAAGAAGTTAAGTCCATGTGTATTCATTCCACAGAACTTCACTGAGTTCCTGCTCCGGACTAGACAACTGTTTTTCCTTTGGCAGTTTTAATTCTGCTGTCTCAATTCTTGGTGCAAAATTATAATGGATTCAACCTTTCTTTTCTTTGTTCAGACAGTCCCTTTGCTTTTGCCACTGGTGGTAGTGACAGTGTCAGTGTGTTCTGGAGGAAGGTAGCATGGGTGATAACC